ATATAATAAAAGGGTAATATGCAAATTGACCCTAACAGCAGAATGACTGGGAATGACTGGTCACTATGACACACACTGACCACCAGGGGGCAGATGCTCAATGCAGGAGCTGCCCCCTGGTGGGCAGTGCACTCCCACAGGGGGAGCTCTGCTCAGCCACAAGCCAGGCTGATGGCTGCCAGCACAGCGGTGGTGGCGGGAGCCTCTCCTGCCTCCTCAGCAGTACTAAGGATGTCTGACTGCAGCTTAGGTCTGCTCCCTGCTGGCAAGTGGACATCCCCCGAGGGTTCCCGGGCTGCCAGAGGGATGTCTGACTGCCAGCTTGGGCCCAATCCCTCAGGGAGCAGGCCTAAGCCAGCAGGTGGACATCCTCCGAGGGGTCCCAGACTGCAAGAGGGCATAGGCCAGGCTGAGGGACCCCTCCCCCCTGCTGAGTGCACAAATTTTTGTGCACCGGGCCTCTAGTAGGTAAATATATGTACAAATATACAGTATAGGGTCTGGAAGAATATATATCCTAAACCAGTCACTACCTCTAAGGCAAAGTTGGAAACTGGTCACAGAGGAGGAAACTTTCACTTTATCTATAGTACTTAAATAGTTTATAATAAAAAATGATACCACAATACTCTTGCGAAGTTGGCTGACAGGAAACAGCCAAAATAAGGATGATGATGTTAATAATAACAACAATAGAGGAGAGACCAAGATGGCGGCATAGGTAAACACCGGAGACTGCTGCCGCAAACAACCACTTCAAAAATACAACTAAAAGACGGAACGGACATCACCCAGAACCACAGGAAAGCTGGCTGAGGAGAGACTCTTCAACTAGAAGGAAAAATAACAGCACACCGAGGCTCAGAGGAGGCGCAGTGTGGAAAATACTCAGGTGCGGAGGTGCGCGCGCAAAGCGGGCTGGTGGCTGAGAGCGCGGTTGTCGTTTTTGGTCAGGGGGGAGTCTCAGACTCTGAGCTCCAGATCTGCTGGGCGAATTGGGGACTCGGACTCAAACGGGAGAAGCGGGATTGTCTGGCATCAGATGGAAGGTAGCTTTCGCTCCGAGGTTTGCAGCGGCGGCTGGGGTTCTGAGAAGCAGAGCCTCTGGGAACGGGACTGAGGACAGCCATACCCGCTCCCTTCGCCCGCCCTGCCCTGTTGATCCCGCCCCGCCCAAGCCCTGCGCAGAGCCATTTGCCAGATCGCCTCAGGCAAAGGCTAGATTAGCAGCACCTCCCAGGACAGAAGTTTTCCGCGGCAGACTCAGCTGATTCACACAGCCAGTCGGCCTGGTGGTCAAATCCCTCTAGTATTAACTACTACAATCAAGGCTCAACTAGAACAAGACTGCGCACAAAGACCACTAGGGGGTGCACCAAGAAAGCATAAAAAATGCGGAGACAAAAAAACATGACAGAAATGGAGGATATAGAGCTAAAAAACGCAATTTTGAGGGCTTGCAAAAATGTGCTAGAAGCTGTCAATAAACTTGAGGAGAGAGTCACGAAAACTAATGAGACCCTCGATGCTATGATAAAGAAACAACTAGAAATTAAGCATACACGGACTGAAATAAAGAATATTATACAGACACCCAATAGCAGACCAGAGGAGCGCAAGAATCAAGCCAAAGATTTGAAATGCGAAGAAGCAAAAAACACCCAACCGGAAAAGCAAAATGAAAAAAGAATCCGAAAATACGAAGATAGTGTAAGGAGCCTCTGGGACAGCTTCAAGCGTACCAACATCAGAATAATAGGGGTGCCAGAAGATGAGAGACAGCAAGATATTGAAAACCTATTTGAAGAAATAATGGCAGAAAACTTCCCCCACCTGGTGAAAGAAATGGACTTACAGGTCCAAGAAGCGCAGAGAACCCCAAACAAAAGGAATCCAAAGAGGACCACACCAAGACACATCATAATTAAAATGCCAAGAGCAAAAGACAAAGAGAGAATCTTAAAAGCAGCAAGAGAAAGAGACTCAATTACCTACAAGGGAATACCCATACGACTGTCAGCTGATTTCTCAACAGAAACTTTGCAGGCCAGAAGGGAATGGCAAGAAATATTCAAAGTGATGAATACCAAGAACCTACAACCAAGATTACTTTATCCAGCAAAGCTATCATTCAGAATTGAAGGTCAGATAAAGAGCTTCACAGATAAGGAAAAGCTAAAGGAGTTCATCACCACTAAACCAGTATTATACGAAATGCTGAAAGGTATCCTTTAAGAAGAGGAAGAAGAAAAAGGTAAAGATACAAATTGTGAACAACAAACATGCATCTATCAACAAGTGAATCTAAGAATCAAGTGAATAAATAATCTGATGTACAGAATGAACTGGTGATTATAATGAATCAGGGACATAGAAAGGGAATGGACTGACTATTCTTGGCGGGGAAAGGGGAATGGGAGATGCGGGAAGAAACTGGACAAAAATCGTGCACCTATGGATGAGGACAGGGGGTGGGGAGGGGGGGCGGGGGGTGGGGGGACAGTGGGTGGGGAGTGAGGGCGGAGGGTGGGGCGGGAACTGGGAGGAGGGGAGTTATGGGGAAAAAAAAAAAAGAGGAACAAATGTAATCTGAACAATAAAGATTTTATAAAAAAAAAAAAAAGGAAAAGGAAAAAAAAAAAAAAAAAAAAAAAAAAAAAAATAACAACAATAATAGTGCTTGTTATTGCTTATATTTAAAAAAAATGTGGCCCGCCCAGCAGGGTGTGGCTCAGCAGTTGAATGTTGACTCAGGAACCAAGAGGTCACTGGTTTGATTCCTGGTCAGGGCATATGCCCAGATTGTGGGCTCGATCCCCAGTAGGGGGCATGCAGGAGGCAGCCAATCAATGATTCCCTCTCATCACTGATGTTTCTATCTTTCCCTCTCCCTTTCTCTCTGAAATCAATAAAAATAAAATAAAAAGTTTAGTTAAACCAAGAGTACCATAATCCACCACACTGTCCTACTTCATACTCTGAAGACTCATTATTTGTTTACATATCCCTCTCTCAACTGACTGGGTTCTAGTGGGAAGAGGCTGGTTCTAATATGTTTGCTCCAAAGCCCAGTCCTCAGCCTGCCAGAGTGGGAATGAATCAAATAACAGCATAGTCAGGAAATCGTAGGAACAGGCTGGGAAGAGCCTTGATGCCACAGTGAGAAATTGCAAGAGATCGCTCTCTCACCTGCCAGAGGAGGTGGTTCCGAGTTCCAGAGACAGCTCCTCCCCAATTAGTAAACTTTTAAAAACCTAGCTGAAAGATAGTTTAAACTGTCCCACTCCAACCAATCAAAACTGCTTTAGTTATACACACCATGCCTTATTGTGAAAAGAATTTGAGACAGTAACTGACATATTCTATATTTCCTTGCACATCCTCAAGCTCATGAAGTTCTTAGGTTCAAAAAGAAGCTGGCAGTTGCACAGAGGAACTTTGCATGAATGTCATCCTCATCCTCCCCCAGCCCTACTAGGTCACAGCAACTGCCACTACCTAGCAGGGAGGGCAAGAGTGGAGCAAAGCGGGATTTTGAGAGTGGCAGCAGGAAAGGTGGCTACAGCTCTCAAACACATGCTAAAGTCTCATGAGAACAAATCTCCTCTCCAAATGGCATTGTGAAGATCTAAGTTTTAAGTCCTAAGTTTTGCTGATCAAATCTTGAATTAATCAGGTGAGGCCAATTATATACACATACACCAATGCAATTTTAACTCTGCCAAATTCTGACATAAGATAATGCTCAAATGATAGTTTACCTGTATGATGGGAAATGGAAGATAGTTCATGTTGTTAATAAAATACAGGAGGCTATAGCAATAGCCCATAAATGCTCCGGCCAGTAGGAAAAAAAGGTGATATTCGTTTAAGCAGGCTTGTGCAGCAGGGCCATCTAAGCTGAAGGGAAAAAGGTGAATTATTAATTCAACAGTCAGGGACATATATCACTGTTTTAGACTCAATATTTATTGAAAGCAACATTCTGACTTAATCACTTAAGAAATGCCCCAAATTCTAAAAAGATGGTTTGTTTTAGGTAAGTGTGGGCAAAAGATTAACAAAACCCCTTTAGTTAACTGTCTAGATCAGCCGTGGGCAAACTACGGCCTGCGGGCCGGATCCGGCCCATTTGAAATGAATAAAACTAAAAAAAAAGACCGTACCCCTTTATGTAATGATGTTTACTTTGAATTTATATTAGTTCACACAAACACTCCATCCATGCTTTTGTTCCGGCCCTCCGGTCCAGTTTAAGAACCCATTGTGGCCCTCGAGTCAAAAAGTTTGCCCACCCCTAGTCTAGATCTATCCCCTAGAAATCTAATAAGGGTAAGAATGTGTCCTGAGATATAAGCAATGCTACTTACATCCATGAGAGAGAAACATGGGTCAGGTGCCTCCTGCACACCTCCTACTGGGGATGTGCCCGCAACCAAGGTACATGCTCTTGACCGGAATCAAACCTGGGACTCTTCAGTCCACAGGCCGACGCTCTAGCCACTGAGCCAAACTGGTCAGGGCTTCCCCTCAGGTTTTATCTGCACATCTCACTTTCTTCCTAGTACAACCTATTTCTCACACATTCCTATTTCTCTATTACATCCATTGGGGTCCATGGGTTAAATCCCCTATTGTCCTCAACTCTCAAGGAGTCTATAGTCTATGTGTAAATCACTCTTATAAATCCAACAGCATCTAATAAGCACCATGCATAGAATAAATCTTTCTAAAAAACTGTTGAATTCAAAACATTAAAAACATTTGATGTATGTAAAAAAAGCACCTTTTATAGAAGTCTAGAAAGCAAACAATATCCATAAACTATTAAAATATACAAGTCATCTTTGGCTTAGTAACTAAATGAGATTCCTTAGGAAAAAAATATCTAATATTACCTCTCAGTACCAGTGCAGGGAACCACAAGAAAACTGTATCGGCCCTTGGTTATCACTGCAGCACACCAAGCCACCATCATTCCCATTGCGGCATGAATAAGTGAGTGCATGAGCTGCTGAGGATGAATGATTTTCCCTATCAGTTCCAGTCTGGAGCAGGGAATGGAAGGCACAACTGCAAACAGAACACATTAATGTGGCTTTATAATCTGCAATATATGAGTACAGAAAAAGTCCTAGTTAAAAAATCTGTAAGTTAAAATAATTTGAGAAAATATTAAATACAATGGGATGCACACAAAGAAAGAAAAACCAAAGGACCTAGAAAGATGAAATATAAGGGTAGTATAAGTAACATTTTCCTTTCTTTTTAAAATTTCCTAATAGCTCAAACAGTACCTACACTGGAACTCTCCTGTCATAAAAAAAATATTTTTTTAAAAAACAGTGCTTGCCCTCTAGCAAGTTATATTTGCATTTTGAAGATTAGCAATATACAGTCCATCTGTGAAAAATAAATCACAAACTAGGTAAACATTGACAACACTGAATACAAAAGTAAATATTTATATGGGAATTTCTAATACCCTTTTTAAAAATATTTTTTTTATTGAGTTTAGAGAGAGGGAGAGGAAGAGACAGAAACATCAATAATAAGACAGAATCATCGATCAGCTGCCCCCTTCACCACCCTTACCACCCCCGACTGGAGACTGAGCCCGCAACACAGTGATGTGCTCTGAACAGAATTGAACCGCAACCTCCGGGTTCATAGGTCCACACTCAAACACTGGACCACACGGGCCAGGCTCTAATACCTTTTTGATAATCCAAAGTTTTATAGAAGTGAGCTGGGGGAGGTGAGTGTGGGTATGAGGTGAGGGATGTTGACCACTGAAACAGCGATTACAGGGTTCCCTAACCTATCTATGTAGGCATTCTTCTTTCAATATACTCAAAGTGAAGAGGCTGCAGAGATGGAAAAGTGTGAAGGGAAAGGGCTTAGGTGCTTGACCCTTGGGGAAGAGGTTGCTATCACCTCTCCCTCTCCACAAGACATGCCTACAAAGGGCAATGTGAAAGAACACATGCTATAAGCCAAGGAGTCCTGTACATGGTTTGAATAGAAAAAAGATCCGTCAGCTAGTGAGGGACTAGGAAAGCAAAGGAAAAAGGTATGTATTGTAACATCCAAAGTAGGATTTGAAATTTTATACCATATCTAACAAGAAACTACAAAGAGCTAAAAAGAGGATGACATTCTAGTTAAAACAAGTAGTGTGAGAAAAAGCTTCTTATTGTATCTTAAAGAGATACAATAAGAAGGAATCTAAAAGGCAAGAGTGAGAGAAGAAACTGAGGGGGGAAAAATGCTCTGGAATTTAGCAGGTGATTATCCCAATGTAAAACATAATATTTTTAAGTTTTTGAGAAACTCTTAGAATTACAGACTTTTATATTTGAGAAATATCTAAGAAATCGCCTGTCCTAATCTCCTACCCTATAAAGACATCCTATATAATAAAAGGCTAATATGCAAATCGACTGAACGGTGGAATGACCGGTTGCTATGACACACACTGACCACCAGGGGGCAGACGCTCAATGCAGAAGCTGCCCCCTGGTGGTCGTGCGCTCCCACAGGGGGAGCGCCACTCAGCCAGAAGCCGGGCTCATAGCTGGCAAGTGCAGCGGCGGTGGCAGGAGCCTCTCCCACCTCTGTGGCAGCGCTAAGGATGTCCAACTGATGGCTTAGGCCTGCTCCCCATCCAGTTGGACATCCCCCAAGGGCTCCTGGACTGTGAGAGGGCGCAGGCCTGGCTGAGGGATGCCCTGCCTTGAGTACATGAATTTCGTGCACCAGGCCTCTAGTTACTTTTATAATACACTAGAGCCAGATGCACGAAATTCATGCAAGAGTAGGCCTTCCTTCCCCTGGTTGCTGGCACTGGCTTCCCTCCAGCACCCAGGACCCAGCCTTCCCTCCAGCCACTGGCAGGCACCTGGGACCCAGGCTTCCCTCCAGCCACCGGCAGGCACCCAGGACCTGGGCTTCCCTCTGACTGCCGGCAGGCACCTGGAACCCAGGCTTCCCTTGCAGCCCCAGCTTCCCCGGAAGGAGGTCTGGTCTAATTAGCATATTACACTTTTATTATTATAGATACGATGAATCACAACTTGAACATCAGCTATGAACCATTAAAAGATCTAAATTGTTTTATTGTGGTAAAATACACTTAAAGTTTATTGTTTTGACCATTTTTAAGTGTACAGTTCTGTGGCATAAGTACATTCACATTGTTGTGCAAACATCACCATCATCCACCTCCAGACTTTCCCATTTTCCCCAGCTGAACCTCTGTCCCCATTAAACAATTCCCAAACCCTCCTCCTCAAAGCCCTGGGCAACCACTATTCTACTTTCTGTCTCTATGAATTAGACTACTTCAGGTAGATCCTAAGTGGAATCATATAATATTTGTCTGCAGAGGTCAAAATACTTTTTTTAGAAGAGAAATTAGCACTCAAATTTTAAGATAAAGCATTCAAAGCATATGATTCTGCATACCATTTGTAAAACTTTAACATAAAACACAGCCCCTATTATACACACTCATATACAAAATGCATTGAGTATGCCCTTAATAAAATAAATTCAGACATTTTTAAGATAATTAACTTTTGAAAACTCACCTGAATAGAACTCCACATTGAAAATACTTATTATTATTATTACCACCGACAGCAGCAGGAAGTAAAAGATTACATAGGAACTATATAGATCATTGAAAGAATCTAAAACAGAAGAAAGAGAAATTACTAAAGATCATCCAGTCGTGTAGTTATATTCAGTATACTGCAACAGAAAAGGGGCTTGAATCACAACTCTAATTTTAATTTTAAAGTTATCCTTTCTTTAAGAATGTCCTCATACACTGCTGACAAGACCTATAGGATATCCACTCAAGAACTAGAATGTGAGTAATTTGGACCAAGCTCTGGGTCCTTTAAAATCTTATATAATAAAGATGTAATATGCAAGTGGTCGTTACACTGTGAAGCGTAATGACCGACCACGTAACAACCGGATCAGCAGGAGGGTGGAGCAGCAAGCTACAAGCGGGTGGCAGAGAGCTACAGGAGGGGGCAGGGCAGCAAGCTATGAGGGAGTTGGGGGGGCAGAGGGAGCTACAGGAGGGTGGCAGTGAGCTACTGGCAAGCTACTGGCGAGCTACTGGCACATGGATTCATGCGCAGGGCTACTAGTAGTATGATATTCAAGGAATTTCTTACCTTGGCCCTGGCTGTTTCTTGGTCCTTCTCACACCTAGTGGTATGCTGGTGAATGTTTAACAGGGGGGAAGAGGAGTCATAAGCCCCTGATTTGTAGTGTTCACAAGCTACTGGAGGGCGGCAGCGAGCTACTGGCACAGGGATTCCTGCGCAGGGCTACTAGCTATTTTGTAATTTCTTTTAGATAACCCAGATGTTAACATCAAACAATATACTACCATATGCAAATATATTTCATCATGTGAAACTAAAATACCACATTTAGTAATATACCAACAAGTTTCTTTGTAAAATGTAAATATTTTTCAGATTTATTCCTACAAGATGCAATTAGCCCTATAGCTAAAAAAGTAACATTTCTGGAAATAGTATAATCCATAAATCATCTAAATTAGCTGAAAACAATGAGGATATCCCAGTGAAATACTAATACATTCACATTTTAGAGTAGTTCATCAATAATCCATTTAAAAAATATGGGAAACTTTAAAATGTGTATGTATTATGCCTAAAAACATGAACAAAAGAAATAAAAACAGCAAGGACATATGCTTGCTGAATAGATTAACACAATTATAAAACCAATTATTTTTAAAAGTATAATTCATTGACTAAAATTAATAAAAAATATTTATTAAGCATCCACAATTAAACACAAACATTGTACTGCTAAAAGAAAGAATTGATCCATGTTATTGGAAATAAGTAAGGAAAGAGTACAACTTTTCTGGAAAGACTTTGTAAAGCAAAAGTTGAAGAGGACAAGTAACATTTGATGGGAAAAAATGGCATAAATCAAATCCAATTTATGAGATTGGTGAGAAAGTGCTATTAGGATTAAAGAATACTTGGCCATAAAATGGCAAAACGTTTTTATCCTAAATTCCAATTCTGAACAACTGATAATGGCTCTAGATTACAATACTGAATATTCTGAGATTGTGACTAGACAGCCAAGATCAAAAGATCAATGAGTAATACAGATTCTGGCAAAGTGGAGAGAGAAGTACTTGCCATCCCTGCAATGGTTTATGGCTTAATTTCATCTGACCTATGGGATCCATACAAGAAGTGATTGATATGTCTCAACAAAAAAATTAACATGACTTTAATTCTTTAGCAGCAACATCTCCAAAGGCCACTAAGTAAAGCTTTGAACTCCTTGAATATTGACATTTTCTTCTGAAAAATTAATTTAACAACACACTTCTCACTTTCCAAAGCAAAAGCAATTTATTGTTATTGTTGTTGAAGAGGACATAAAAAGTATTTCAAGAGTATTTGTGCTTCTTAGCCTTAAGCAAGGCTTTAAAGACTTCAAAACCTAGGCTGGCAACATTTCTCTCTTTTTATTTTATTTTTTAATTCTAGTATAGAATTAAAAATAAATAAATCCTAGTGCATAGTAAAAACACTGGTTCTGAAGTCAGAGGCCAATGTTCAAATCCTACCTTAGTTACTCACCAGCTGTATCTCTGAAGACTTTAGCCTGAGTCTCAGTTTCCTCATCTCTAAAGTAGGGTTAATACCTCTTTATTACACAGGGTTGTAGGAAGAATAAGAGGCAAGCTACTTCAGGTGCTCAGCACAGTGCCTGGCACACAGATGATAGTGATAATTGATAGCCCCTCATCAATCCTCGCATTTAACTCTATGTTCTTTAGTTTTTAACTCTTTCCTCCTTTTCTCTCTTCTCATCATTCTTCCTTATTAGCCACAATATAGCAATAGAGTATTCCTAATTTTAGACAGGTTTTTTAAGAGATATCTCATATTTCTATCCACAATATTTAAATAGATAAAAGGAACAGTTCTCCTTAAAAAGACAATCTCAATAAAGCTGTCATAAAGAAGAAACAAACAAATAAACAAAAATTAAGTTTTCCTTTACATGGTCTTCTAATGATTTTTTTCATGTGATAATAAAGTCTCTGACAGTTTTACTAATCCTATTATTATACTAGAGGCCCGATGCACTAAATTCGTGCAAGAGTAGGCCTTCTTTCCCCCGGCTGCTGGCACCGGCTTCCCTCCAGCACCTGGGACCTGGGCTTCCCTCGCAGCCCCTGCTTTGTCTGGAAGGTTGTCTGGAAGGACGTCGGTCTAGTTAGCATACTACGCTTTTATTATTATAGATAATGAAAAGGTGTAAGTTAGGAAGGAATGCCTTAAGATTACCACAGTGACTATTTTGCTAAGTAAGCGGTAATTAAAAACAAATTTGGAACATAATGCAATTTTTATGTTGAAAAGTAGGTCCTGTACATTTGTTTTCCCCAAATTGAGTATCACTTACCAGACAGCCACTGTATAGGATGCAATAAATCAATGCTGTTGAAGATTATAAATACTGTGGTACAGATGGGTAGAAGCAGCACTGACCACACAATACTTGTAACTATCCTCCATCCCAAAACCTGTAACAAACAAAATCAACAAAATCATTCAATCATGAAGTCAGTTAAACTATTTCAGTTATGCAAATCCTATCTTTTCATACAGGATGCTAAGCACTAATATTTATACCCAGATCATAGTCTGTGCAGGTATACATAAACCTCAATGGTTATTACTATTAATAACTTTAATTTACACACCACTGTAGAATCTTGTATTATCAGTGAACTTGTGGTTATGTTTGTCCAAAGTCAGGTGCCACACTAAATATCCTGGGGCGGGGGAGGGGGGCAGAATTACAACTGTATTTCACAGCAATTAATACTTGTCTAAGTTTAATTGACACATATATCAACATCTAAAAGCTATATATTTTATGGGAACCATCTGTCTACTGCAATGGTGTTTACGATTACTACATACGTATTCCCTACTGGGCAACTGACACATGGTATTCAGTCTGAATCACCAGTGCCTACCACGTAGGAGGCACAAGATTTACTTTTGAATAAGTGAATAAAAAAGCAAAGTGAATACTGAAGGGTTCTAAGCATGACCATCGGATTTATATTTTGGGCGGTAAAACACCCCGTGTTTGTAACCTGGCTATGATGAAGATGGATCAGACGGGGCAAGGCCACAACAGGAGGCAGTCCACGCAACCGCCCAAGCCAAAGGTTACAGTCAGTGTCTGAGGGAAGGCAGCGGCAAGGGGAAAGGAGGCATAAAGGGGGAAATGGATCCACGTCTGTGAAACACGTTATACAGGACAGCGGTGATTGATCCCAGGGGCGGTAAAGAACAGGTAAGACTTCAAGACTCAAAAGCTCTTAGCTTGGGATACAGGGTAGATGGCGGTACCGCTGGGGCAGCCCCAAAGGGATATTACTCCTTATCTCTTTGTCCTGCACAGAACGGATGCAGGACAGGAGGTATCAGCTAGGAAGTACTTGCTCATATCAGCCGCACAGCGCACACATTCCTCTAACACAGTGGTTCTCAACCTTCCTAATGCCGCAACCCTTTAATACAGTTCCTCCTGTTGTGGTGACCCCCAACCATAAAATTATTTTCGTTGCTACTTCATAACTGTAATTTTGCTACTGTTATGAATCGTAATGTAATAATATAGGGTGTCCCAAAATTCACGAAAGAAGTAATTTTGATAGAAAACACAGGTTTATAATTAAAAATTGTAAATTTTTTATTGATTCATAAAGTATACAGTATAGGGTTGTGTATGGAATAGCACATCGGGTAAATGGCCTCCACGGCTTTGCTGGCACATATGCAAAGCCCTGGTCTTCACTGTCCCTGCTCCTGGGCCATAATTGGTACTTGGTAATGCTTATCCAATTGAAGGGATTGAAATCAAAGGGCAACAGATACTAAAATCTGATTCAATAAACCAAGTAAAACTAGGCTTTTATTTTTTGTTGTTGTTGTTAATGCTCATGCAAAATTCAAATCTTGCGTGAATTTTGGGACACCCTATATGCGTTTTCCGATGGTCTTAGGTGACCCGTGAAGGGGTCGCGATCCACAGGTTGAGAACCGCTGCTCTAACAGTTAACAAGGAGCACCTGTCCCCTGTACCTAGCCCACCCCAGCCTCTGCTGAGTGCGCCATTCACATTCTCTCCAACTCTTCGCATTCTAATCCTGGGACCGACCAGTTATTTATGTTGCACCTCCTAGGCACACCACCCCTGCGTCCACTCCTCGCCATTCCCGGCCCGAGTGCCAGCAGGTCAGCCCTCCCACTCCGACAAGTTTCCACTCTGGACTCCCCTTTCACCCCCGAACAAGTTGGCACTCGGGACACCCCGCACCCATACACCCGGCACCCAGCTTTCCCGAGCACACTCCTCCCACCCGGGAACGAGCTTCCACTCAGGACGCCCCGACAGCCCTGTCATAAGCTCCCCTTTAGGAGGTCCCTTCCCCACGCGCTCCCCACGCTACCCCCGGCCGGTCCCTCCCCCGCCCAGCACGC